ATTCCAATAATTCGAATCGGGCAAATTTTGACCGATTGTGCATCGGATTGTAGCCCGTCTGAGACGGGGCCTTTTCGCTTTCTTGAACTATGAGCATTCAAACGGTAGCTTGGATACCGACAATTCCAAAAATGCAAGTAAAAATTTATTTCGAATGCTTTAATAAGACTACGCTCAAATTTCAATAGATCCTTTCATTATTATTTGAGCCAACTTGTCATGTTGTCTGGTAAGGACTCTTGTACAGCCCGATACACGTGTTTCGTCCTTACAGACTCGTCAGTCGGGCAGAACCCGTCGTCTTTCGATATTTTTATAATCTCTGTAAAGGAGTAGAGCTCCCGAGTGAACTGACTAAACGGGCTGTACATGAGCCCTTACCACACCACATGACAAGTTGGCTCAAATAATAATGAAAGGATCTAGTGCAAGTAAAGATTTGAAAAACATTTTACTGCGCCGTAGCAACGATAATAAGACCACGTTTTATCTTCGGCGTGCATTCTTTGCTTCGCTAGAATTTGTGGATGACTTTTCACCAAAGTGTGGCTACTTATTCAATAGCCTCAAGGATGGTGATTCTGAAAATATACTTAATATCAGATTGGTCTTTACAGAGCGAAAACACGTTTCGTACTTAGAGCTACGCGCATCAAAAGCATATGAGCGTGTAAGGAAAGTTGTGCTGTATTAAAATTCGAAAAAAAATCAAAGAATGTTTTCTTTGCAACGGATAAAATTCCTAGAAATAGCGAAAAAATGCGCCCTTCAGAACGACAAGTAGAACTGCTACGCGTAACGCTATTCAGGTGGCGGGCGACTGTGTCATTTGATCAGAGATTTCATCCACATTTCGATAGACCTTCTAGGTTTTTTTGCATCAGAACTATAGTAGAGCTTCTGTTCTATCGTTCTAAGCATATTAATCACTTGTCTATCAAAATGAAATGAATCTTCTGAGTTTCAAGTAAGAAGTTAATTACTGAGAGTGCGGAACGTAATATTCTTCTCACTCTTACCGCACCCTATGGAGACCTTTCCAAAACCCGTTTACAGTTTCGCAATCAACAAGAATTATGCTATCAAGTAGATACTGAAAGTTTGGTGGAAAGCAAGCCACAGACCCTAACCGAGCCGATAAAAAGCCGAGTGCTAAACATCAATTCTACTTTCACAGCGCATTTGGCCTAGGAACTGCTAACGAGCGTACAATGCAGTGCTAGTTCAAGGAGTTTTGTAAAGAAACGCATCTAAACAATGCATAAACCACAGTGAGTTTTGTAACGATTCTACCAAGGTCGTGAAGGAAACAATCACCCAAGCTGATTCTCCCAGGATTACATGAGATATTGTAGAAGAGCTCAAGGTCGACCATTCTACCATTCTCGCCACTTAGAGCAAGTCAAAAAGGTAAGTGTGATTTCAGATCGTGCTGAAACCGCAACTACTTTTGCCTCAACTTAGTATTGGAAATCTTCAATTCCTCTCATAATTCTGCTGGAGAACATCTTATGAATCCTGAGCGTTAACTGTGCATTGAATCACCATGAGCACCCTAAATGAATTTCATCAGTGTCCAAATTAATGTGGATTTCCAAAAGCAGTTGAATTCAGCCTAGCAGAAAACCAAAAAACTCAAATGGAAGTGTGAAAAAACCACATAATTGAGTACTTCAATGGCTAGTTTACACTGATAACACGCGCTACAGCACAGTTTCCGTTCATTTCTCCTGCGTGCATTTCTATTCTGCAGTGAAGATTACTTTGAAAACATGTTGACGTCTGTGGGACCCATTCCTTAATCATAAACTGCTTTCACCTGCGAACGCAGATAGTCGACGTTAGGCACGAACATGTCCGCCCAGTGTTTGGACGGCCGTCCAGAAGACGCGTTCATTATTATCGGAGTCCATTCCACTGCTTTGTTTCCGTTCGTCTGTCATCTATTTTGTTAATGTGACCAGCTCATCTGTGCTTCACTACTGATGACTAAGTCTTCTGGATACCTAAGATGGGATAGATTTCAGAGATTTGAGCCCGCAAGCCGATCAGATGTTGTGAGTGCCAATAAAACTCCAGAAGCTTTGTTCAAGTGTCCTGTAGGTAATGCGCATATTTTTTGACGTGGCTGAAGCGTCAAGCCTCATCTCAGTTGAATGACATGGCGTTGAGAGGGCTATTGAATCAAAAGGATGAATATGAAGTATGAGAGGTCCAGATGATCCATGACACTTTCCTCTCTGTTTACGCTCCGGAGATGGTCTGCGCTGTCAAGGAGCCATCCAGTTCAATTTGTTCACTTTCATTTGTTTTTGAGCTTTCGTCCTAAATATGCATAACCCAATCTTTTTCTCGCCCCAGTCACTTCATTGATAGAACCTTCTCATTCCAAATCAATTACTGAACAAATTTTGCGATATGGGGTCCCTCTGTTACACTCTCTTTTCTATGGGTATGGTCAGAAGATGATAGAAAAGGTGCATTTCTGTGATGTAGCCAGAAGTGAGGCAATGTTCATATCTAGGAAGAGATTCGCACCCTAGTCCACGGGCGCTAATAGGATTGTTATCGTTTATCGTTTCGGTGCTGTCAAATGTTTTTCATAGTCGACAAAAGTCAGGACCAATGTTACGTGGTATTTAGACAAACTTTCGTGATCTTAGACAGAGTGCTGCTGCGATCCATGCAAACAATCCTTGTTGAAATTCTGCCTGCTCATCTCGGTGCGCTTTTTTCAAATGCTTGATAAGTGAGAGAGGATAATATCTGTGAACAGCTTCTAGAGTACACTCAATAAGCATATCGAGCAGTAGCTATGAGAATCTTTTCGGTCACCATTCCTAGGTACGAGGACTGTTGTCGACGTCTTACATTGATCTGCGATCTTCTTTCTGTGTAAGTGTGATGTTGCCAGATTGGTGAAGAAGTATTGGCGGCTTTTTACATTGCTGAATCTTGTCGTTTGATATTGAAATGGATTTTCTATTAAATCTGCTCATTTCATTATATGTCAATGCGCATTCCTCGCTCTGTTTTTGTTGCTATTGACTTATCATTTGCTGCTCATTTTAGTTTTACTTCTGACTATGGAAAGGATGTCAAGTGAAAAGCAGATCTAAGCCATTTCTTATTCGGGTTTGAGCAGTGAAACAGCACAGACAACTCGCAACATCATCAACACATCAACATAGGAATAAGAAACGTAGTGACTGGCCAAGGGAAGTTGACAGCATAATCAAAAGCAATCGTGGGAAGCCGATCCTCTCTAGACGGCAAGAGATGTTGCAGAAAAACTCAGTGTTGACTTTTCTACGGTAGTTCGCCATTTGAAGCAATTGGGAAGATGAAAACGATTGGTGTAAAATTAATTTCGGTTCAAAAACAGAATGCCGACGACCACACATCGCACAAGCCAACGCCTTAGTTGATCAAATTCGGCTATGAGGTTAGGCCCAGCCTTCCATATTCGCTGGACCTCGCACCCATTAACGAACAAATTTTTCAAGCACCTTGACATACTCTTAGAAAAAAAAACGCTTTTGCAGCCAATGATGCAGAAGATTCTTCCCAAGTTTTCGTCGAATCCTGAGGCACCTATTTTGACGCTACGAGAGCATAAAACTTATTTTTTATTGATACAAATGGGTTGATTGCGGACTCTTACTTTGATCAAAAATGATGTGTTTGAGCCTAGTTGTAATAATTCAAATATTCATAGTCTGAACCACCGCTACTTTTGCATCGTCCCAATCGGCTCTATTAGGTTTTGAGGAGCGGAATTATGGTCCGTAGTTCTAAGGAAGGGGCGGGTGATATTTTCAGGTGCCTGAAACAATACCACACTTCATGTTTTCAACTGCAAATCCAACTTTGAAGGGACCAATCTTTCACGTTTTTTCTTCAGTGTGATTCCGGGTCTCGCGACAAGGTTATGGAACGAGAAAAATCAAAGTAGTAATTTTTGAATTAGTTCCGTATCATGATGATATGGTGATGATCCCATCTTCGTTCATCAACGTTGGTAGCGAGAGATTATAGTGCACGAGTAGCAATGGCACTTTCATAAACTAACTTTCTTTCGAGCTGAGTCTCGTAAATTTATGCATGTACTGATATAACTCCTGAAGTGATTTCTACACTTGGACTTGTCATCTACCATACTGAGTGCATTGCAATAGAAACAAATTTCATCTTTCGATATTTTTGGATTTGAGCAACCCCTTCAATGGTAGCAACTCATCATACCACAAAGTGTTTTGCTTTTCATAAGTGATGACAGTTCCTTTCCAGCTTATGGCTAAATCGAGCGCCAAGTAAATGGCGTTGATCAAATTTTCATACAAAGTCGGTGCCACTAAGATGTCAACAAGACACCATTTTATGTTGGTGGGACTATGATCGATGTCCGCATGAATTTTTCATGAAGAGATTTGCAAATCCAATGCTGATTTCCTCTCTTCTCAAGAAGTGAATTACCATATAAGAGACGTGTTGCGAATACAACTCTTACAAGACTAAATTCGATCTAGTATCGTTCTTCATCTCGTGTTCATTTTTATTGGCCGCTAAGCTCACATCGAAGCCCCAACAACGAATTCATAGAAGAACATCTGTTGTGAAATACTTTGTGAACATGGCTGTAGGAAGCTTCCTTTCTTCTCTCATTGTACAAATTGCTCAATATCAGGTTATGATACTAATTTTTTGATGTGGAAATCAGGAAAAAGAATGGCCTGTTGGAAAATTTTGTGGTTTTTTTTGTTATTGTCATTTATTTACAGTAATTTTGTTTCTTAGTTTTTCTTACCGTTGACCTCAAGATTTCATTTAAGTACGCATTTTATTTTTGCAACTTATGAAATTTTTTACTTCATAACGAACACTGCAAAACTCAAGTCGTGAACGTCTCTTGAACGTTTTCCCCTACTACTTCAGACGGGAATCGAACGCGCGTTACATCCATACCGGGAGCTGATGATATGGATGTAGAGGTGTAGGGTACCTCGGTGGTGCAGTGGCAGCACGTCCCCGCTATGGATGAAACGCGGGTTCGATTCCCGCCTGAGGTCGTATCTATTCTCACCACTTAACTCTCTTAAAATAAAACAGCAGCAAGAATACGAGAGAACTTTGTTTCCAACCTGGTAGCATAAGCGACCAGATGGGAAGTAGATGATTGTAAGCCAAAACCGACGTTTCCTACACTTCGCAACGAGAATTTTCTTTCACAAATGAGCTCTTCTCATATGAATGGCATACGTCATCTTCCTGCTATCGATCTCTTGTAAGGCAAACACATAGAAATTCATAACGGTTCAAGAAATGTTCCTGAGTAAAAAGCACTTTTCATGGCGTGTCATGAACATTTTTGTCGCTCCGCTTCTGAAGACGTCGTGTATAACCCGTGTATTTGATCGCTTTCCACCGCCCCACATCGTAGGTATGACAATCTAGTGCGGATAACCAGGAATAGTTTATTGCTGGTTTTGCCAGTTGATTACCTGGAGACCAAACTTGGTCTAGTTGAAGCTTTCCTCTGTTCTTTACCACCACAAGCAGTCACCTACCATCGTGGACTGCAGGGATATCTCACCGACTAATTGATACAGACGGCGCGTATAGTTGGTACTGGTCTACTCCTAAGTGAGCTTCCGCTTGAAAACGACGAATTCATCGCAGCTTGTGAGACCCTACCATCGAGTGAACCATGTCCCTCCTCCCACACTCCTGCTAGTATCACGACTGCGAAGAAGCTGCCAAGAATCTGGTCAGAATAAAAAAATTCAAACTGTAATTTCAACAGCAGTTTCGGACTGAATGGGGTTTATGTCAATTGGTACACCCAGACCATCCTGGTGACGATTGATTTCTAAGTCACCATATAGGTTGAGATACAATCTTGATGGTAGACGAAAAATATTGTGAGCTTCAGAAAGGGTAATCGCGGTTTTGAAGCCACTTCACATTACAAGTTTGCTCGTTTCTCAGCATTCCTGCGATATTACCGCGCAACCCTGCCGTTGAAAATGAATCAAAAGAACTTGAAGATTGGCTAGAGTATCTGCATGCTGTTCGTGTAAAGTACATATATCCGGTACTAAGTACAATTTTAGCTAATTTCACTTGGTATGGAAACATAATTCCAGATCATGCTAGCCAAAAAGTCGGTATCGAAAGATGTGAAAATCTTGAGTTTGGTTGGAGACTTTTTCGAAGCATATTCTGTGTATTCACTCGATAAGTAATCCGAAGGATATTCAAATAAGAAGAATAAAAGCGAAAGCAACGTCCTATTCTTCAACTATTTTACAAAAAACATCCTCGCAGACGAATCCATTGCCCGACGTCACATTTTACTTTACGACACCTCGGAAAATACCTGCTAGCCTTGCAGAATGAATTGTTGAGAATTGAACGTATGTAGGTTTCCTTATGAGAAGAAATTGATGGCCGTAGATGGAGATTGCATTGAAGCCTTTCATTCTACATAGCATGTATTGATTGTATCTACAACTTGATTATAAATTGTGTACTGCAAACCGGGAAAAGTGATTTGAATAGCCAAATGATTAGAATAACACTGAAAAGTTGACACTGAACTTCACAACTACGTGTTAGAGTACAGCCAGAAGTTGAAGTTTTTGAATCAGCCTCACTGGCAAAGTCTCTGTGATGCTTACTTTCTTGAACAGAGATAATTTTTGAGATGAAATGAATCTTTCTGAAGAGAAATTTCTGTAATTTATTCAATGTAGAGTACGGTTTTTTGAGGGCCATGTCTGAATGACATGTATTAAGCAACTTATCGATTGGATACGAAAGTGTGATTTTCTAGAAGAAAAAAAATCTGTGGTTTACAAATTAAACCTCGCTCTCTCGAATGCATATTGATGGCTTTCAATGTTTACATGACAACAAACAAGGAGAGGAAGCTAGTGAAACTCAGGACTATTATCAATCGCTGGTTAAAAGCTAGTGTTTCATTTACACTTCTACCAGTCATATTTGTCAAATATTGAACAAAGCAACGAAAGCACAGCAGCAATTTATTGGAGACAGTGATTTACATAGTGACCATATCGCCTCCGGAAGTTCCTGAAGTTGTACCCATTGTCGACGTTCCACCACTAGTTGTACCACCGGCTGTAGTGCCACCACCCGTTGTGCCCATAGTTGAGAGTCCTCCGGTAGTAGTTCCACCCAATGTAGTTCCACCGATCGTGCCACCTAAAATTAGCATTCTGTGAATCTCCTCTTCATATTAGTAACTATTTATAGATACTTGTCCATTATCGGTAACCATCTTCAGGCCTTTTGGGCACAACGCGTTATGTGTTTTTTTTTACGCTTCAATAGTCTATTCAATAGCTTGAATTTTGGTAAATTAAATCCATTTTTTGTTTTTTTTTTTTTGCTGAATAGGATTCATCCTTCGCTACTTCAGCAATCATTCAATAATTCGAATCTCGTCGATTTCAGTAGTGTATATGAATTTCTCAAAGAACTCCTTATTAAGCTGCGACAGACTGCGTTTGCACCCGACGCGCATTTCCTCTCAGTTAGGTGTGTAATAGGCTGAGTATCGATTGCGCGGTTGATCGATCGCGCAGCGCAATTCACATGTGGCGTGCAATTTTTTAAAAATGACTCTAATACTTTAAGATTTCCTGTCACGGTATATGTTTTTCGTTCATAAGTTTAGGCTGATTAGGCTTAGAATTTCCGGAGGGTTTTTGGCACTATAAATGAAAACCCAAGCCCACAGAACGATAGAATTCATTTTCTTTTGCAACTTCATTCGTAAAACCTAGAATTAACACGAAGCGGAAAAAACTTTTGAGTTAGGATTGATAATTGAATAATAATTGGGAAAAATCAATAAAATAACATATATGGGCACATAAATGCGCCGAGTGCGAAAATTTTTTCTTAATAGTGATACATTGCATAAAAAACATCTTCTAGTGGTATCATATATTATCGAAATTTTTCGAGATTTACACTATTGACTGACTACTAAAATTCTAGAAAAAACAAGAAATGCGTTGTTCCCAAAGTGCTGGAAATGTTTACCAATAACGGAAAAGTTCCAACTTTAATGCGTGATAAATTCAAGACTTGTGCAAGATGAAGGCGAGGTAACGAATCAAGTACAAGAACTGCTACGATCCTTACAGTAGATTGTGTTAACGGATTGGGAAAGGTGTCCTTTCAAAAAATTTCCACGATACATCATATTTTCACCTGTAGATGTATCTACTACAATGATTAGAGGTGACTTGCAAGGTGGTACTGTCGTTATTTCTACTGTACCCCAAATTGAGTAAACTGTTTTTAACTTGAAATTTAGAATTTGCTGCCGGAGTCATTAGGTGGGATAAGGAAAGCACTGGATTGAGAAATGTCGCTAAATAATGTATAGAGCAAATGAATACATCCAACCATTTACGAATGCTTCCGAATGCATGACGTATTCCTTAGAAATTGGCAGACGCCAGAAACTTTATCCTCTACAACCTGTAGTTTTTGTTGTATCCAAATTTTCTTTCAGTTTGCAATGTGGGCGAAATGAAGTAAGAAAACCGTACCACCAGTCGTTGTATTACCAAACGCACCACCCGTAACGCCACCAGTAACACCAGATGCATCACAGCCATAACGCTTGTACATTCCACGATACCTGACGAATATTTCCAGTTGAAGATAGCGTCCTCACATCGCCAACATGTTTCATCGATTAATTTTGATGTAATAATCGTCAACGTATAGCTCATAAATGAAAAGTTTTCGTATTTCTTCTTGACATGCCGACAAATTACAAACCAATCAGTGTATACAGTACGACGAGCCAGATAGAGTATAGCGGCAGCCAGTATCAACGCAAGCAATGAACCAATGAAGAAGCCATAGAATATCATCCAAATCATCCAACCAGTACGAGCCTTGAGCTCAGCGGATTCCACCACTGAAAGGAAAATTTGTTAACAGCGTTTTTTTTTTACTTCACAAAAAAGTAGATAGTTTTTTGTAAAGAATTGTTTCTAGAGTGACAAAAGTGAGAAGATCGGTCATACCGGTTCCAATATATATGGCAATGTTCCTTTCTTTGGTTGTAGTGACCGGTGCCTCAGCTGATACATTTGGTGTTGGTGATGCCTTAAAATCTAGTCATCAGTTTTAACGATGATCGCCACAGTTACCAGTTTTTATGATATCCATTACAAGTCGTCCCTTTTAGCGTTTAACCCTACTATTCATGTGATTGGCAAAAATTGGATTATAACCAGTGATGTCGAGTGATGTGTGAAACTTTCGCACTAGGCGGCACTCGAACCTACATCTCACTCTATCCGGGAGCGCACGCTCTAACCCTTTGCACTACTGGCACCCATTTTTCACACCACTCTGCGCTATAGCGCATCTCTCTGTCAGCCGCCAACCGTCAACGGTTCTGCCCGAGTAGTCGGTATTGACATTGAAATTAGATCAATACATATTTTCCATTTACCTCACTCTTTTGTTTAAAATACGGCACTCATTATAGTCATTTCTACAATGTTCTACTCCTATTCTCTCTAATTTTACCCATACTTTATTTCATAAATCTTTTCCACTGTTCTTCGTTTCCTTTCACATAACTTCTCTCCATTCGTCTCTGAGTCATCATCAACTTACCGTCGCTATTGTACCAAGGGTACCTCGAGGTGCTACTGTCGAATATGTGACGTATGCCGATGATTCTGTAGATACATCGTCGATTGGCAAGTTTTTATCGATCTGATACACTATTCCGTTGTTTTCACCCTAAAATTACAACTACTGTTGTATTGTTTAGGGAAAAAGTAACTGATATTTCACAATTTAGTAGATTTTTTCCCTAGGCAACGCACCAAGTACTTAATCCCTCTCTTTCTTATCAGACAGTTGTGATCTGAGAAGTACAAGATGATATGTCCATCATGATTTATCTGGGAAGATGATACTACCCGTTCGCGTCCCACTGACCAGACAGAGAACTGAAAATGGAAGCGAAACTATGTGCAAGATTTTGCAAACACATAAATACACT